ATAAATTTCTTCTCTTATTCCCAAGACAAGTGGACTAGAAATTGAAAGAGCTTAATAGAGAGAAAAACTGTATTTTTCTGGTGTTATTGCTAATACCTCAGAATACTGCAGCTGATTTCAAACAAAGCAACCCCCTCAAAACAGTCTAGAGTGCACTTAAACCCAGACTCAAATCACTCATGTGTAAAGATACTTTTTTTTAATTTTATTATTTTTATTTTATGTGTATGCGTGTATTGCCTGCATGTAGGTAAGTGCGCCCGTGTAGTGCAATGCCCATGGAGGTCAGAAGAGGCTGTCGGATCCCCTGGAACTGGAGTTACAGACAGTTGTTAGCTGCCATGTGGGTGCTTGGATTTGAACCCGGGTCTTCTGCAAGAACAACCAGTGTTCTTAACCGCTGAGCCATCTCTCCAGCCCCAAAGTTACTTCTTTTATTAAGAAATGTTTATGCCAGGGCTGGAGAGATGGCTCAGAGGTTAAGAGCACTGACTGCTCTTGCAGAGGACCCGGGTTCGATTCCCAGCACCCACAAAGCAGCTACAACCGTCCTTAACTCCAGTTCCAGGGGAATCTGAAGCCCTCTTCTGACCTCTGCAGCACTGCACAACATGGGTGCACTCACATACACTCATACACATAAAATAAAAAAATAATAAATAAAAAAAGAAATGTTTATGCCTTGGAGCATTGTTTCTGTTCATGCTCTCTTTAATGGCTCGGCTTTAAAAGATAAATAAAATAGGCAGTCCTCACCAACTTAAGAGTTTCTTTTGAAGTCCTCTAAGGCTGTGCAAGTTTGCTCACCCCTTCTGAAAGACTCTTATCCAAGACCACTTAATAGATTTGAAGATTAGTTAGAGTTTTTCACAAAGCATGTGTATAACTAGTATACCTTCAGTTTCCTAAAATTTAGAGCAGAAAAAATGTTCTCTCAGATAAATTTTACCTTATTTTGCTAAGGTACACAGTAACTACCTTGGGCAGTGATACCTCTGGCCACAGCCAGAGCTGACAAAATACTGAAAGAGCAGACTGGGCCTGCCTATTTCTTACTTTAGCTCAGTAGGCTGTATAGGAATATCTGCTATATTTAAATGATAGGTAAGAGTAACACATGAGCAACTGCCCGCTCCAGAGTAACAACAAAAAAACTTCATTACATATTTTCCCTCTTCTGGAAAACTCAAACCCTTTATGATCTCTTTACAATGACATCTTAAATACAATAAGGATGTTGGGAGACATTATCTCATGTTTACAAAAGCCAGATATTTGGGGCTAGAAAGATGGCTCAGCTGTTAAGAGCATTGGCTGCTCTTACAGAGGACCCAGGTTTGAATTCCAGCACCTACATGGAGGCTAACAACCATTTATAACTCCAGTTCCAGGGGATCCAATGCGCTCTTCTCACTTCCACAGGCATTGCACAAAACAGGCGCATTTATATACATGGCAAACAATACACTCATATACATAAAATAAATATAAAAAATTTTAAAACAATATTTTATAATCTAAAAAGCACATGCCAGTCTGAAATGGTTGTACATGCCTAAAACCAAAGCACTCATGAGGAAAAGGCAAGAGAATCATGAGTTCAAGGTCAGCCTGATCTGCATAAGCTATCTCAAAAATCAAATGCCCAAAAAGGCACTTTTCATTCCTAAAATGCCTGAGGATACGCCTAATGTAAGCTATCTTAGATATATGCACACCCTATAAGTTGTGGTATTTGTCCAGATGCACACTGTCCATCCCATCCCAACCCCAGATAGAGACATTCCCTGAGCTGTTCTGACCCAGCTCCCCAGTTATATTTATATCACACCAGCAAGCCTCTCTCTTACTGATTCTTGCTGAGCTTCTGCAATGGTTTGTCCTCTGACAATCATATCCTCTCTATAACACAGGAATCCTTTTCCCTCCCTTGTCTGTGAACTTTTGACCAGTCACCTCAGAAGAATGCTCTAAGTTTCAGTTGTGACAAAAATAATAAGGCCAGTTTTGAGTGCTGAGTATTACCAATACCCCTGAGAACAGGGAAAGCAGGAACTTAGGTGATGAACTGAAATAAAAAAGGACAAGAGTTCCATAATCTTGGGAAGCCCCAAAGACACTCAAGCTAAGTCATCCATCTTCCCATGTGTCATTATGGGCAATGACCAGAAGATAGAACTAGAAAGACTGAAAAGTCAAAATCCTTGCTCTCAAGCTCTTCTGACTGCACTAGAGAAATGGCCTCTTTCCGAAGTACTTCAAAAATCTCCACCAAGGTGTCAAGCACAGGACCCCTGCCAACTCAGACAAGGGACCAGAGCGGAATAGGGAAATGGGTGTGGGCCAGCCCTAATCTGGGAACTAATGGAGACTGATTACTACCGGGTGAGGGAGAGTAGGCCTTACCTATGAACTCTAGATAGGCTGACTAGACTCCAGTGGATGAATTTGCACTGAAAGACATCTGGGTACAAATGCCTGACTGGATAGGATTTAATAATGAGGTCCGGTGGGGTGGCAGGGGGCATGAATCAGGTAGAGGGGGTCTAAATCTGATTAAGAACTGTTGTATGAAATGTACAAAAACTCAATAAAATTTTTTCTAAGAATTTCCACAAAGTTCTTATCCTTCTCCATAAACTAAGCTCCTTTCCTGTTTAAATGCACTTTTAAAAGTGCTCACTTGTATTACATGGTTGGGTTAGAAACAACTTAAAGCACTCCCTACAAGGACCAGTCTGACCACAGGAGGGCAGTTCTTGCCTCTCTTAGGGGTGTGCTGGCTAGCAATTTTAGAGCCCTCTCCATCAATAACTTAGAACTTGCTTCCAAGGGAAAGAGAAATTGGCAAGAAAAAGAGGGAAATAAGTTCAGAGGAATCTTCTGGCAATCTTTGTACTAGAACTTCTTAGTTCTGCTTAAAAGGGAAGAGAAATGCCATCCAATGTCTGCCACTACCTTTTGAAAAACCTCATCTTTGCTGTGGTGGCTTACTGCCAGTTTCATGTCTCAAAAACCAATGCCAAAGCCTTCTCTCCTCTGCTCCATTCCTCCAGAGAAAGCAAGGGGGTGAATATTCTCTATGTGTTTCTCCTTTTACCTTCCTTTAGGACGAGAAGGTGTATAAAACCCCAGGCAAAGTAAGTCCAGCATCACTGGGAAAAGAGCCTGGGGCTCTTCCTATCATGTGTCCAGGAGGCCAGAGAGCCTAGCCCATTCATCTTTTACATTTTCTTTATCTCTTAGGAGCCCAATTAGAAATGTCCCTACATGAATCATCTGTGGAAAAATACCAGATCTAGTGTTGCTGGGGAAATTTAAAAAAAAAAAAAAAACTAACAATTTTCTTTCTTAGAAACTGCCCCTGTGCAGCTGGAGAGATGGCTCAGGGGTTCAGAGCACTTGCTGCTCTTGCAGAGAACCCGGATTTGGGTCCCAGCACCCACATGATTGTAACTCTAGCTCCAGGGGACCTGACACCTTCTTCTGGCCCCCTCAGGCACCAGGCACACACATGGCATACATAAATACATGTAGGCTAAACACATAAGATAAAAATAAATCTTTAAAAAACTACCTGGCCCTCTTTTTAATAGGTATTTTCCTTTCTGTCTGTTATATATACTGTTAGTATGTGGCACTACACACATGCATACATGTGTGTACTGATAACCATTAACCCTATTTTAAGCAAATGAGGCATATAGACATGTCCTGAAATAAGCATTATGTTTGTATTAAAAAGAAATGTTCACATTTCTTAAAAAATCTACGTCAGTGCACCTACCAATAACACGATACACATACTCAAACTGCTTAATAGAGTAAGGCTTTGAGACTAGAAAGTATTATGAAGATTCCTTTCCCCAAAGCAAGGAAAAGAATGTAAAAAGCAGCCACCCTAAATAAAACCCGTATCTTTGAAACGATTCGAACTAAAGAGCTGAGGAGCCTATTCAAATGACAAAATAATTCCAGCGTGCAGAATCCTGTCTGCCTCCCAGGGAGGCTATCCAAAGGATACTATGAAACAAGTAGAGACAGGAACGCATTGAAGTTAAAGTCATCGAGATGCTGACGCTTAGTATCTTAGAAGCACACGTCCTAACAAAATGAGTACATTGTGGCAAGTGTCTAAAAGTTAGAACCATGCGAGAGGCTTTTGCAGCCGTGGACTCGCAGGGTACGTAAATTATACGATAAAAGACAAGTATATTTGGTTGTGCATCTACTTCTACATAATTGAGGACGACAATGATTTCCCATAGTAGCATGAAAAAAAAAAAGTGTGTCCACCTTGAACCCATAACTATTTGCAGACTTGAAAGACTACAACCGTTCCTTCAAAATCCTTTTTGCTTCTGAATTGTCTCTGGAGTGTTCTTAACCTGAGTTTCCCCGTAGTTTCTAACGACTTGGTGAGCTGGCGACAAGTTTACTAAGACCTGCAGGTCCTAAGTGCATTTTCTCCCGCGCACTTGTTCATCTCTGAAGCAAGAGCACTGGAGAACATCTCAAACTTGAGCCGCGGTCGTCGCCAAGTCCAGGTCCTTCACATTCCCTTGTGGGACCTGACACGTCATCCGCGCTCCTCAGGACCTCGCCCGCCCGTCCACATCCCGGCGACACCCGCCCTCCGGAACGCCGCTCCACGCGCGGTCCACGGGCGCGCGCCCAGAGCCCGGGTCCCGCGTGGGCCCGCGCGAGCTCGCGCGGCGCGGCGGGGAGCAGGTC